TTACAGACCCAGCGCGAGATCTGTGGGGTGATCTAAAGGGTTATAAAATAAGTTGTCATCAATTGCGTGGAATATCTTGATCGTGGAAAATAGCCCAAGAATTCACTACAGGAATGTTTACTACAACTTGGAAGAGGAACTGTTCCTTCCGCACCATGAAACAAACATGTTCTCAATATCGTTTCCAACATTGTATATCTAAAGAAATAGCTTTGTAAGTTCACGATTCTTTGTCAAACATCTTCCTTTTCGATTTAAAATACATAAAACTATTGAAACATTTCGTCAAGCTTAAATAATATTTGTAATAAAAAAAAACTACCGTCTTATTTATGCCTGTATGTTTTTGTTACTAAACAAGTAGCGCCTAAGTCTTGCATGTCATATGAACACCGTACAGCTATTAATTAAACCGTTCTCTTTCAAAATGACTTCTTGTGTACCAATCATCCCTTTCATCTATTTCTATCATTTAACTTCAAGTCTTCGGTGATACAGTTTAATATTGTTTAATCTTTCTAAAATGCATTTCTCTCATTGCACTTCCCCTCTAAGTATTTATTAAGGGGAGATCGAAGGCATTCGAAACTTGCCAAAATAACAACTGCAGAAAAAAACCTATGGTTCCGAGAAGGCATTTTGCCCCGCCAGAAGCCTGATTCCAGAGGGAGGACTCGCAATGATGAACCGCAAACCGGAAGCTCCGCGAAGGAAGCTATTACCGTCTCCTGTCATTTAGCCGCTTTTTGTCGCACCGCATTGTGGAGCACGGCTCCATTACAGCGTCCGCCCTCCCACCTCGGCGGCCGACCACCTCCGCTGATGCGTTTCGTTGATAGGGGCGAGATGACTGGCGTCACGCCCGCTTGTAACCTCAAAATGGGTACTAATTGCAAGTTTCGTAATGTGTTCGTTTGAATGAAGTTTCTGTCCTACGTCCTCAAGCCTACGCATGGTCAGTAATTGTCGAAGAAGATGACTTAGTTTTCTTTACAGCTCAATTTGGTTACGTTCATGTTAAAAAAAATAATTAAAGACGTTGTCATTGCCAAATATATGACAACGTCTTTAATTATTTTATGAAAAATGCCAAAGATATCACACCACAACACCTATACGTTCATGTTGTTGTTGTTTTTTTCTGAAAAATTACTTTCTCGTGGTAAGGGTATTACGTACGCTGCTGAACTTTTTAATATGTTTTTTTATCTTCTTTAAGAACTCAGTGAAACTGTGTAAAATAGTACTATAAATCAAAACGATCTCATATATCGTGTGCAATAATTTTTACGAAATTGCTTGAAATGAATTGTATTAGTATTATTAAAGAATTTACTCAACTTATGCTAAACCAGTAACTCTTGATCTTTTAGAAAGGTTTTTACTAAATCTTGCTTTTATATAGCACACGTGTTCTATGAACGTATTTTTGTATGCATCAAATCCGGATGTTTCTGTGGTGGTTTGAAGTATCACTTTACGTAGATTTGTGCATTCTCCTCCGAGCTCAAATATTGATGTGGAGGCTGATGCGTAAACATGTTTACGTTTGAAAAAGTTACCTTGTATGGGTGTTAATTGCATGTTATGAGCCGACTTTGTTAGATTGAAGCTTTTGGCGGTCTGAAGCATACGCATGGTAGATAAATGCCGTAACGTAATTCTTAGTTTTGTCTCAATTTGGTTATGTTACCTTCTTTGGCTGTGGTACTCTGCTAATATATTCATTACTATTACTTTACATTGAAAAAGTTATGTCCAGAAATAACATGTTCTTATATTCATATGTCACCAAAAATTGTGACAAATATTCATTTTCGTCTATGTAGCTTCAGACAACACTAATTATAATAATAGGACTTACTCCTTGGTAGTGGCACAAGTAGCTCAGGATTATTTTTAAAAATTCCTTTTCTGAAGACTGGTTTTTGATAGCACATTCTGCATGTGCGCACTGTATAGAATACATTTGGACATTGATGTCACTGTTTGATGTCTCATTTGATGTTTTTTCTCTCTTTATTCTCTTCTCATATGTCGATGCGTTTCCGGATCTGAAAAACAAATCTGGCAAAAATAATGTCATTATTTTTTACTTTTAAGGGAAAAAGTGAACCATTTGACGGTACAGTCCGCTTGGGCCCAAACATGCTGTGTTTGCAATTTGAAAAGTAGGTAACAAGAAATCACAGCATGAACATGCGAAGTAAACATCGATCTTACGAACTTTACCGATAAAAAATGCAGACACAAATATTCCAGACTGATAACAAATGCAGTCCAAAATTTTTCCCCTCTCGACAAACAGCATCCCATTAGCCTTCGCTCTAACATTAAAGAGGGCGTGGCTGTTTAGGTGACGCTGTGATTCAGGCAGTTTTTCTGTAGAAACCTCGTAGAAAAAACCATGGAGGGAAGGGCTTGTTTCTCACTGCCCTCACTGGAACTGTATTACTCCGGGTGGAAAAATCTAGGACGTGGCTTCTTGGGCAATGGTCAACTGATCCCGCAGGATTTGCACCATAAGCTTGCGCTACAATTTGGCTCAGCTGTCACAGTTAAAGAAGGATAGCGACATTGTCTTGAATAATGGGGGGAAGATGTCTAGCGGCAGCCGATGGTTATGATGGGGGTTCAGACGTCAAACAAAATTTTAGCGTCTGCACAGTAGAAGGTTTTATTCCACACTTCTCACGCAATAATAGCACGTCACACACAGTACAGTTTTTAACTGTCTTTCGACTTTAAATTAAAAAAAAAAAATAAAATACTCAGTCTATCTATTACATTCTTTAAATCACACTGCTACCTTCTTTTTCACGAATGAGTGAAAGTAAAGCGCCCGAAATGTTGCCAACTCTGCTTAGGACGCTGCGTCTTCTGGATTGACTCGACCGCGAAAGAATTCGTCCATTTTAGGCATGTCAAGATTGCCGGCAAGGTAACTAGCTTAGTTGAATTTGCAGAAACACTAAGTCCATGGCGGCTGGCACGAGATTTAAATGTAAGGGTTGTACAAAGCTCTTGAGTAGCAGTACATCATTGGATACGTGGCTCATGATAACGGTTTTTTGGTCAACGTTGATTTGGAGAACGTGACCCTTGACAGTTTTTTGGTGTCGTTGACAGTCATTGCCCCGAGAGTAATACTAACATCATTTGCTGTTCTAAAGCAAGGAACTGATCTATTGAAGTGAAATATATGAGTCAAATTTCAAATTGTCAGTTAAAAAAGTAAAATTAAACATTTTGAAGAAAAAAATGATTTCGTTACCGCCTTTACGTAAGAGTGCAATAATTGTAATAATGTCCTTCGTACAGGTTAGGATGTAAAACGGGGTAAGATTATTGTCTATTAAAAGAGGTGCCCGTCTGTAAGTGAGACTTATTATTGCTTTCATATAATAAATAACATAAATGATTTAATAAAATATAACAAAAAACGAAAACAAGCAAAGAATTCGCCAATCAGCATATTCCTGCCCCCTGGGACAACTGTTCATAAAAGGTAGAATTTAAGAAGATTGTAAATGAAATGAAGAATAACAAGTAGGAAAAATATTTAAACGTCAATCATATGTTGGTTACTTGGGAGAAAACGTCAGGAAAACATATTTTCTTATAAAGCGAGTATTCATCGTGATAGTTCGAGCACACTTCGTGCTTTCATTTCCAAATCAGGCCGCACGTGTAGTCACCTTTCGTGGAGCTTGCCAGCTATGTCGAATTCAGTCGTCTGGAAGAGAATTCTAGTGGCCGGCTGCTCTGATCGGTATTTTTCCGAGGTTTCTTCAATCAACACCAGGTGAATGGCGGATCAGTACCTAATCTAACAAATGGGGCACAGACTTTTTCTTCACCTCCCTTGTTCTAATAAAAGGGCACGCCAAACTCAAGAAAGTTAAAATAACATTGCAAAGAGTAGGGATGTACTTGCCCGATCCTGTATTTTCTCATGGAAAACTTCACTTGACTCTCTCATGAGTGAAACCCTCTTCTAATATTTTTGTGACTTAAGGAAAGCGAAAAGCTAACTGTCAAGGAAGATTGAATAATTACTTTCAGGGCCTGTTTCACCGGTGCCTGATGATTGTCTATCCAGAAGTTATCTGACTGATATGTTGAAAATTTGCATTTTACGAGTGCCTGATAAATCTATCCAGTAGTAACTGGTATCCGGTATAAATGTTGTTTTTGAGGAAGTGAGAATTGTTCGAAGAACATATCCCTATAATACTGAATAAACCTTTATTGAAAATTTGTTTCCAATAACAATTGCGTCGTTTTTATTTTCATTTGATATTACATAAGGTCCATTTTTTGGAATATGAATGGTAAGGGGTGGGCGGGGCAATGGATGCCCCAAACGGGAAAAAAAGTATATTAAAGAAATGTTTCTAATAACTCAAACAATTTTATAATTTTAAGAATATTGTTAATTCAACAGAAATCTAACCTACAAATATTACATGAACTTTATAGAAATTCAAGATATCTAAATGAAATGCACCTACTTTTCATGATAATTCTTAAAGTTTTATTAACATTTGTAATGGCAGCATATTTATGCTATGAATATACAAATTTGTTGTATTCTGCACATGTATCTTTAGTTTTGTTGTCTTTTGCCTCTGCACACACACATGACACCGACACACGAATATGGCAGTTACACTTCTAGTAAGGTGAGGCACACAGCGTGAGATACTCGTGGCAAACGCGTTATGTCCAGGTCAACGTAAAAACAAAACACGAGCCCTCGCCATTCTCAGTACTACCAACGCCGAGAAAAACAAAAATGAAAATTTCGTGAGGCACTGTATTCTTGGAGGGATAACAACTTTCCTACTTAATGGAAAGGATGAGGAAATGAATAAGGAAAGGGTGGGGAATAACATGCGAGAATTCTCATACAGGTACGCTAGTTATGAAATAAATAATTTATCACATTGAAACATTTACAATATTAAAACTATTTTTTAATTCTGTCTCTGTTTCAGGAGCCGCCCTGTACACGAGACACCATGACTCCATTCATTCTAATGCTGTTGCCTACGGAGGTCAGTATGTGACTTTCATGGGTTGTAAGTTTCATAGATTATTTCATAGATTATTTCATAGATTATTTCATAGATTTTACATAGAAACATTAGGTTGTGTCGGTCACGTAGCCCTTGGCAACTGCGTCTGCAGCAATCAATTGAAGTGAAGTGTTTGTCTGCGCCGCCAGAGGTCGGTTTCCGGGACGCCGCACGCCCCTCAGCGCATCGCTCACAAACGAGCCCATCACCACTGACAGGCTCAATGCCACCGTCGCAGATGCTATCACCGTTATTTTATTTACCATCCTCTTTGACTACCAATATCAAAATAAACTCGTAACAAAAATAGAAAACAAATGAAATTGGTAGATTACTTTTGAGATATAATTATGTCCATTTTCTTGGACGTTCTCAATTGACAGTAAATTAACTTAAACGATATCCATAGCTTAAATGCTCCCTAGTAGTTTTTTTATCTTACTGAAATACTCAATAAATGAAGTATAAATAATAAATTTCGTAAATATTGTTTTCTTAAAAATAAAAATATAAAAAATAAAATAAAAGAGTGATTGGAAGTCGTTCGCGAGATAGTGTTTGCCAATCGCAGTTCGCTTTCTCTCTTCCCATTTAGTGACATCTTCATCATTCGAATCTGAAGGAGAAAAGAAAGGTAGAATATTTTGATGTCAACAGTTTTGCGGCGTTGATGCAGAAATTAGATAATCAAATGAATCGAATTCACTAAATGGATTATTACGCTATTAAATGAAATGTCTATAATTGGTATAACACCTGCAGATGATGGGGCAAATAACACATTTCGTTTTCTTGTTATTAGCGTACGTAATTTTAGAGATATTGACGCAACTTTGTTTCTTTTAAATGGAAGTATATATTTTTTCTCCGTCATTCTAAAGTTGAAAATGAAATGCAATGATACAAATATTGTTAATATTCGAGAAGAATGTTTTGCAAAAACAGTGCAATTAGAACTTGGTAAACGCTATGCCGAAGCGCACAAGGACAGCTGACCTTGCGCTCTGCTTACAAATGTGCTTTGCGATCGACGAGAAATCCATAAACTCATGACCTGAAAATAGTGAATTTCTTGCGCATTGCCTTTTTTCCAAACGTTTTGATATAAGCATGTTATTTTAAATATTAGTATTCTCTTTATTTTTCAAATTTCTCATTTTGTTTTGTTGTGTTCATTAAGAATACCTTCGTAAATGTTTTCTTCTGTTTTGAATTATTTCATCTTGCAACTTTGCAACAGATTTATTATAATATTATTTAATAAAAAAGAAATCAATGTATATTTCTTCTCAGTGAACACGTGTTTTATTTTTCATTTTCCCTGAAATACGATAGGCTCTTCAAATTAAAATTTAATAAAGGTATTTAGATACATAACTCCTCTTAAATCAATGTGATTTCAAGTATTTCTCTCCTTCCCTGCGCATGTAGAACTTGTGTAAGTCCAAAACCGAGGTCATGAACATTACCAGCGAGAGCATAGGAAGTCCCGTAAAAGGGAAACTTTCTCGTTTTCCGACAAGGTGCGTCGGCTCAGGTATACAATGTCAGCAAGGTCAGCTGTCCTTGAGCGCTACGGCATGGCGTTTATCAAGTTCTAATTGTACTGTTTTTGCAAAACATACTTTTCTAATATTAACAATATCTATATTAATACATTTCATTTTCATTGTATTTGAGAATGATGGAAAAAAATATATACATCCATTTAAATAAAAAGTTTTGTCAATACTTCTAAAATCACTCACGGCACAAACAAGAAAACAAAATATGATATTTGCCCCATCATCTGCAACAACATGGCGCAAGTAGTATCAAGATACCTCAAAGATTCAAGATTTTGTGGCAAACTTAGGTGGTCCACCTGTATATAGAGAGAGCACGAATGTGTGTGTGTGTGTGTGTGTATGTATGTATGTATGTATGTGTGTGTAGAATAGGGTGGGAGGAGAGAAGGATGACGAAATAAGGATCGCACGCGGTCTGTGGCCCGTTTTCTTAGATTTTTATCCCGCCATGCGCTTGGTGTTAATCGCAGAAAGAAGAAAAGGATGAAATTATTTACCAAATTTTGCTGATTTCGACGAAGCTATTTAGCTAGTGGGAGGAATCTGTATTGGTTGCAAACTCGGAGACTTTTCGGTCTCAGGAGTGGCCACGGATATCGCCCCTGAGACCTCTCAGTCGGTGTACCCAATTTGAGCAGTTTGGTTTAATGACAACTAAGAAAAGATTTTTAATGAAATGTCTTTTTTTCTTTTCACTTTAGAACAATGCCGTTTAGTATAGAATTAATTCATTTTATATCATTATTGTTTTATGTTATGACGAAATGAAATGACCCGTTTTAATAAGTCATTTTTACTACATTTTTCGCGGATTTCATTGATTTTAATATAATTTCAATTACACTTGCTTCAAACGTTTTTTACGAGGTACAACAAATGCTCACCACAGAATTCCTGAGTAGCCTACTCGATTTCTTCGCTCGTGTATTGTAATGTCAGCCGTTGTGAGCACTATGTAATTTAAGGTTTCTGCGACGCCTAACGGCGCCATTGTCAATTCGGCCGATTTCGTGATAAATGAAGGCAGATTTTTTTTTTTTAAGAACAGTCCTAACCCAAAGTTTGCAAAGCTGAGTTCACATGAACAAAAAGAAATAGACTCGAATACATCAGTAACATATCCAACAACTTAAGTTGTTCATCTGAAGTGATTTTGATCAAATTTTTTATGTTATTTTTCTTTGTTTTTAGTGCATTTTATTAATAATTTTGGCAATGTTTGGGGTCATCAAAATCCGCTCCGCAAGGATAACCTTCGCATAAGGTCGTCCGTTACGCCGAAGATTCGCCGTAACAGTTCTAACGTGCCTGGCAGAGCACAAAACGCTTGCCTGCCGATCGCGGCGCGGCAGCCACCCCCGGGGCCGGGCTACGCAAGGGCCGCGTGGCCCCCGACAGAGATGTTACAGCCCGCGACTCTATCCCGGCTCCTCGCGGCGGGGCGGGGGAGGGGAGGGGGCAGCGAGGGGCGGCGGCGCGCGGGGCGGGGCCCCGCGCGCGCGCGCGCGCGCTGGGGAGGAGTGGGGGAGGGGCGCGGGCCCACGCGCGGCAGGCGGCGGCACGCGCAGTGTGGCGGGTAGCGGCAACAGCCACAGCGCCGCGGCCGCCGACCGACCGACGCGACGCGACGCGAGCGAACGAGCCAGCGACGCTGTGAGCGCGCGCCCCGCGCCGAAGGCCACGTGCTGCTGTTGCTCAGCGCGAGCGCCGTCAGCTGCGCCCGGTGCGTGGACGGCAGCCGTGCCGAGTGCGGGAGAGAGAGGTGCCGGTCGGGAAGAGCGTGCGCGAGTGGCAGACTGTGCGTGTGACAGTGCGAGACCCGAGGCGCGAGGACGCGAGGACGACCCTGCCACCGCGTGGAGGACGCCAGGCGGGATTTGTTTTGACGGGTGAGTCATGAGGATGATTGGTTTGGGGCTGCCGGCGGTTCGCTTCTCGACGCAAATGGAGAATCGTTAAATAGGGTTTTTTTCTACGTGTTGGTCAGCGTAATTTCTGTGTCAGTTTCGTTTATTTTGGTGTCGGTTTATTTTAATGTGACCATAAGGTATGTGACAGAATCATTTCTGAGTTCAGTGAGGCAATGTATTAAGAACATCTTATTTTGAATCATGTACTTTCCATATTACACAAATTTCTCAATACATCTCCTACAGAGCTTAAACATTTTCTTCTTTTGGCGGGAAATGAGTTGGGGTAAAACCTACGAAAGGACAAATCTCGACATCTCACTTTTCGTCTGACCCGACGAATATAGACGCATGCTCAATATTAATGAATTTCCTAAATTTTGAAACCGATCTTTGTGTCATGTGGCTTATGAGGAAACATTTGTTCTCATCGGTCAGATAACTATTAGGTATTTTTCTGCGCCACATTTGATTTTAACAGTTATATCGCAGCCGTTTCCATTTTTTTGTGATCATTACATCGACTTTGTTAATCCTTCGTAACAAATGTCACTTCCTATGTTTCTTGATAGTTTTTGAAAGCTTTTCTGTCGCTTTTGAGACATTGGCGTAAGCATCCACTTTTGTAAAGTCTTTGCTCCAATTTATAATTTTCGCGCAAAATTCTAAAATTGTAAATAATTAAAATGGAACATACGCTTTTGTGACATTTAGAAAATTGATAGGTGTAGATAAATGAAAGTTAAACAGTCATCATAATCCCTCACACGCAAGAGACTGTGAATTGTCATTCCTCAGTTATGATTAGAATTGTTTTGTTTGATTACTTTTTATTCTTAGCTATTTGTTTTCCTATCGCGCATTGTGATTATTACTGTGATGGGTCGTTGACCATTGGGGAAGGGGAGTTGGGGAATCCCCCCCCCCTTTCCAGACTGACCGTGATGGTGATGTAATGTTCCGCCAGCTTTTCTTTATTATCCGCTTTTTTTCCATCTAAGATAATTTTCAAGAATCAATGAACTCATTTTCATGATTTTTTAAAATCTCTTTAGGTAATTAAGAACTGAGACATCTGTACTATCCGAAATTGAATGGTTTTTAATCGTTGAAACTTACTAAATGTGATCACGAACAAGAAAGCTTCATAGATTAATTTACTAGCTTTGCATGAAATTAGTCTCGACGTGTCATGAGATTAATTTAATAGTAGACAATTTGACTTGATATTTTAAATCCAAAGGCCCTTTCTAAACAAACTATTTGAAGACAAACAAAGGAATACATACACAAATTTGCGAAGTTAAATGAACGATATTTGATGTGAATGAGTACATATATTTTTAATGTTTGATTATAAGGTAAAGTCGTTGGTAAATCTAACCTGCAGAGAATCAAAACTCAAATCGAATCTCAATTTTATTAAGAATACAATATTGCGGCAATTCTTTATACCTAATCCAACATTTAAAGACAGGCATTACTTAAATGACAATTGACTCTATGGTGAGCTATAAATAGGCGTATCATTTTCTTTACAAAATTAATACCCTTCGCCAATTTGTTTAGTTACTAATTCATTTGAATGTTTAATTTGTAAGTGGAGGGATTAGTACGCAATCAATAACACTCAATATTATAAAAACAGGCCCTATGGAATATAGTAGACTGTAAGGTAATGAAGATATCTTTATCATTTTCTACAACAGATATATTTTCTCTCAAACGCATTATTCCCAAAAGAAAACTCTGGCAAGTCTCTCTCGATCACATCATAATATCATCGACAAAAGCACATATTTGGGAATGATACACACTATCCTCAAATAATAAAATAATCCCCCCTTAAGTTTGTGCAAACAATAGCTATTTGACTGATACAACTATTAAATTAATATTTCGTTCCAAGCCTTCATCAATATCGAAAATGAATTATTCTGTGATTAACATCTCCTGTTTGGGAAAAATTTAATAAATTTATAAAAATAGTTCGTAAAATATTAGGCAAAATGTCGGCGTCAGTCGCGTTGAAATATTGAGCTGCCTTTGAAAACCCTTGCTGGGCTCTTTCATCAGTACTTTAAAACGACCCCAACCATCACACAAATACTTGGCCCTTGAAAAATCATTCATCAGTCAATCCTCAGGAAATAAAATAATCTCGCCTAAATGGTAAACAGTTGTTAGCAGCGTCGGAATGATGAATTACAATAAATATATGAAGATAAGCTTATATGAATACTAAACAAAAGTATGAACTGCTCTTTAAAAACTCTAAGAACACTTACACTATTTCTTAGCTCTAATGATTCTCAATCCATCTGTTATAAAGCGCCTAGTAAAGAATATTCGTTGGTAGCCACAACTCCTTTACTCCACCCTCTTCGAACTCATTCCACTCTGTCAGGCAGAAAATTCTGGGTCGAGGTCTTTGACTGTCTCTTCTTTCAATCCAATCTCCTCCGCGAACTTTTAATATGAGATTTTATGCGTGAAAAATGTGACAAATTTCTGTAAATACTTTCAAAAATAAAATGCAACAATGGGCGTGTTAAATGAGTTTAATATATTTGTGGAGCCTCTCCTGAAGAAAATTCTTACAATAGTGAATTATTCCATTCATTCAGACCAATCTATTTCATCAATCATTTGGCACTGCGTATTTTCATTGCCTGTTCACCTTCCTGAAATTCAATAATCACGCATAAAAATTGTGGGCAGTTGACAAGTACATCGTAATAAATATTAAAAGAAGTAACATGGCATTAGAGCCTAAATTACTATGGAAAATAAATTCTGGTTAGATATTCATTTACCTAAATGCATATTTGCTTAGGAGTCGAAATTACAGAATTTCGAAAAATATTCTCGTGAAATATTTCTGAATAAGCGCCAATTGAATTATTAACGTTTGTTTGTCGTCTCCGTCCTCACCACTACAGACACAAACCGAAAATTCTGATGTGGGTATGCATAGAGTCCTTAATTACATTTTGTCAGTACTGCATACCTACACTACGTAGAACTGCATTTGTTAGAATAAAAAGAAACTACCAATTTTAACAAAAGGTCAAATATTACATAAAAGTGGTGGAGAGAATTGAATCGCTATTGTTCATTTCCCAAACTTCTTCAGATCAACTTCTGATTCCACCTCTTCAATCAATTTTATCAGTCCCTCAAAGACATTCCACTCAGATGCGCGTTTACTTGAGAGCAAAATGTAACAAAGGTTTTGATAGATGTGTCCTATTTGAAGAAAAATGTACCGAATCACTCTCGGAAGAAAATTCAAGTCCGTTTCACTGATTATTTCATTTAATCACAATAATTCTTCAAAAATCAACACTAGTTGGAACCACGCTCATTCTAGTTCTACCATTATTTTTCGTATATGTTCATGTGCCATGCTGCTTTCCCAAAAACTCAACTTTGACATTTCACAAATCCCTTCATTCAACCCCAATCAATGCCAACAATATTTCAAAACCATACTAGTTGAACCACTTCCATTCCATTCTTTCCAGTATTTGAGGCATAGAGTTTCATGTGCCTTTCAGCTCCCCAAAAAATTAGATTTGACATTTCACAAATTCCTTCTTTCAATCCCTATCAATGCCAACAAACCTTCAAAAATCACACTAGTTAGAACCACATTTATTCAAGTCCTATGTGTATGATTGCGACATTAAAATTCATGTGGCTTGTAGCTCTCCAAAATATCAGTTTCCACATTTCACAAATCCCTTCAGTGAATCCCATAAATCGTTCAAAACAACCCTAGTTGAACCACCTTTATACCAACCGTACCAGTATTTGATTGAAATTTGAAGTGCCAGGCATCTCCACCAAATAATCAGCTTCCACATTTCACAGTTCCCTTCATTTAATCGCAATCGATCCCCCAACCACTCGGCGCTGGGCGAGTCGCTCCGTCGCGTGTGCGTGGGAGGCGCGGCGTCCCGCGGTTTTTCTGATTGCGCGCGCGCGGGCCGCCGTTCGCCCATTTGTCGGGGCGAAGCCTTCCATTAGGCGACGGGCGGCGGGCGCGCGATTGCAGGTTGGGTGCGCGGCGCGTGGCGGGCGATGCGATGCGCTGTCAGCGGCGGCGGCGGTGGCGGCTTTCCCGCGCGGCGCCGCCGGGGCCACTCCCGACTCCCGCGGAGCGACGCCGCGACGCCCGGGGCAAGTGCCACCAGTAGGGATGCGACATCGATGCCGATGTTTTCAAAACCTCGATGTTTTTGTAGCAACATCGATGTCCTCAAAACATCGACTTTTTTGTAGAAACATTATCGTGTAATTAAACATCGATGTATTATTAACAGCGATGTTTTATTAACAGCGATGTTTTATTAACGGCGATGTTGTATTAGCTGCGATGTTTTAATACCTGCGATGTTTTATTAGCTGCGATGTTTTATTAGCTGCGATGTTTTATTCGCTGCGATGTTTTATTCGCTGCGATGTTTTATTCGCTGCGATGTTTTTTTAGCTGCGATGTTTTTTAGCTGCGATGTTTTTTTAGCTGCGATGTTTTTTTAGCTGCGATGTTTTATTAGATGCGATGTTTTTTTAGCTGCGATGTTTTTTTAGCTGCGATGTTTTATTAGCTGCGATGTTTTAGTAACAGCGATGTTTTAGTAACAGCGAATGACTATTCGCTAGCTTTCGCCAGTGTTGTTACCTTTTTTAAAATTATTTTGTGCCTGCTAACATCTTTAAACTGCAATTTGAACGTTGACAACATAAAACGTTGATTAGAAAAATAAAATGACAGTCGAATTTCAGGCAGGATATACTTTAAATTAATATTGACGTGTTATGTATCATATTAGAAACAGGACATTTTACTTCGAAGTATTTCATCAAATTTAAAGGACGGATATTTTAAACATCGTTGTTTTTTGTCGATGTTTTCATTGACTTCGAAAACCTTTTCGGTGATGTATAGAAGTGTCGACATATCGATGTTTTGCTAAACTTTGCCATCACTACGCACGTGGCTCTCGCTGTGTCAATGAGAGGCTGTTCGTTTGGAGCTCCAATTTTCAAAAATATTCCAACATTTGTGCAAGCCCCTGTACTAATCGAACTACTCGACAATTACTTCCAAATCTGAGGGGGAAGTGACGTCACGCACTGGTCAGAGCACGGGGCTGCCGCGGTGCTGGATCGGAAATCGTTTGTTTGGAGCTTCGAGTTTTAAAAATCTTGGAACGTTGCCACTACCATTCAAAATACTCCACAATAACTTCGAAACCCTTGATGATTAGCGTACTTCTAAATAATTGACGATTAATACAAAATAGACTGTTCGTTCATCCGAGATTCTCAATTATTCATTGGAGATTCTCAATTATTCATTGGAGATTCTCAACTGTTCATTGGAGATTCTCAGCAGCTCGTTGGTGATTCTGAACTGTACTCTTGGAGGGAAAGGAAACGTTTTTGATTAATCTAATATTAAATGTGGGATTGTGATATCAATTCAAATTTAATGCAGAACGTAGAACTACATCGATGCAGGTTTCATTTACCTAACAAACTACAGGGAATATTAATAGATGTAAAAAAATTGAGTGAGAAAAATGTTGTGTTGTTTAGAAAAGTATCCTCTTGTATTTTCTGTCCAACGTCCTCTGTGAATTTTCTCCTGTATACAAAATAATTTTTCATTAAATTAAATTTTACGTTCATTATTTTATTTGTTGACAATAATGGTAGATATGAGTTGGTATTTTATTATTGCATGATAATGAATTGTGTGAAAATAAATTGCCATATTACAACATGCGCTCATTACCAACGTGAAAGAGTTGTAGATTTTGCAGATTTGCAGATTTTAGACATTAATATGCCTTTTGCTCCCTTTGAAATGGTCAGACATTTATGTGATAGCAGATTAATTTCATGTAATAAGGGGTTCATTAAAACACTTATTCTTCCGGTAATATAGACAACTCCCAAACTGGTGACAATTGGGAAGTCACATGCTATTGTAATGCCAAAATGACATTAAGTGATTTTGTGTTCTCACACACGTATAAATTTCACTGGAAAAAATCGAAGAGTTTTGAGGAGCACAGAGGAGGAATGTCGTAGGTATAGAGAATTAATTTAAATTTCTTGGCTGTTTTGCGCAAAGATAACTCAATTTTGAGATGAAATGTTAATCAGTGACAATCTCAATACATTATAAGGAATTTGATGCTGATTTTGTTGAGAACGATACATAAACGGAACTATTTTTTTCTTTATTCTCTCTTCATTCTGATTGTAATACAGAATGCATCTCTTTTGGTGCCTTTTCTTAAAATATTGTTCAAGTGTGATGTCCAGTAGTGTATGTCAAATTTTCAGGTGCAGAATATGTAGTGTTCGTTTTTTTATACTACTTCAGGACTTCTTTTTAGTTTAGAAATATGTTACTTTTCTAAAAGAGGGTTTTGAAAAATATGAACATCCACGGACGTAATAAAATTACTATCACTCATACAAAAAAGGGAATTTTATAAGACTATGAAATACTCGTACAAAAATGTGCTGGTTGACATGTAAAACAATAGTAACACAAAGGCATAAATTAATGTTTGGAATGCGAAGATGGAATAAGTGCTATGATGAATGTAAAATTTGCTTTAATTAACCCATACATTATTTGGATAAGCGTCGCAGTCGTGTAAATTACATTTATTTGATCCCAATACTAAAATGGTATTAAGGACATGGGATGATGTCTCAAGAATGTGATTCTAATCCTCATAAAGATATAGTTTTCGTACTTTATGAAGATATTTATTTACTTTCTAACAATTGTCGATGCTGACAGCTCATACGATACTGAAAACTAAAATATTGCCAACTATAATTCTAAATATGCTGTCGTACCAAATTGATTTTCATTGTATAATACTTCTGGACTAATTTAAATTTTTCCGCATCTCAAAGATTTAATATTCAGCGAGGCTTCGAATGACTGATTGAATTTCAATTAACCACGTAAAGGATAATTATATTTGAGGACGTAACATTCCGTGCTCGCGTATTTCCGTCGTTTGCGCAGCCGCAGCTCTCAAAATCGGCTTTGACATCACGCGCGCAGAGGACGCACAGAAGCGGGAGCGATGGCGGCGGTGGCGGCTTCGGCGTCGGCGTCGATCGGCCTTTGTTTCTTCGGCGGGCGGCGGCGGCGGCGGCGGCGGCCTCCTACGGCAGCCGCGACCTCGGACGGCCCCGCCCCGCCCCCGCCCCCGCCGCCGTCCCCCCGCCGCCGCCGCCGTCGAGTGTGGCGAGACGCATTCGATTGTCGCCTCGCCCACCGCTTTGCTCCGCCGCCCCCAGCGCGCTCCCTGCGGCCGCCCTTCGGCATCCCAAGGCGCCAGGAGACCTGTTGCGTAGAGAGCGAGCGGCGCCCGTTTGCCAGCTCAGTGATGCACGGATTCAAAGGCTCGTAACCAAGTCCAAGAACTGAACGCTTTGGGGCAATAACAGCATATGCCACGCCTACCAGAGCACGCGTCCCGCTAATTGTAAAGGTTAATATCTCGATTTACAAACTAGAATTCGCCGGTCGGGATGGCCGCTAAGGCAGTAGTACCGTAGCGGTCTCGGCCCGAAGGATCGCGAGTTCGAGTCCCGCCTCGGGCATGGTTGTATTTGTGTTCATTCTTTCACCCCCTATCATCAACATATCGTGTCATCTTGACAGTTACCGTACCGTTGAACGCAATAGAGGTCGCTAATGACGTAGATGTTGATGTGACCTTAAATAAATTAAATAACAAAAAAAGGAGCAAGAATCCACTCCAGACTTCCGAAGGACAAATTTCGCCCACCTTATGCTTATCCCAAAACTCTTACATCCCTACTCTAATTTATATTTAAGTATGTCAAATACTTACTTAAATTACTTAAATATTAGAAGGTATCTACCTCAGCAGCGATCTAATTATTTAATTTAGCTAAGAAGAGAAACAAATTCTGCACTTCTAGGTGTTTGAAGAGTATCTCTGAGGGGGCACCTTCCTTATTTGTGGGACTTTGAACTTAGCATATGTCCTTTGGGCGAAATTCTCTGTAACTGTTCTGTGAAGTGGTTAATCTCGATTTTGTTCGAAGTGTGTGTCATCTTGTTTCAACCCTAAGCCCATAATTTATATAAGACACATATGGGCCCGGTATTAAGATAATCCACACTTTCACCAAAATAGAGATAAATTGCTAGAGGCTTGCTGCGAATGGTTGGGCTTATCTTGTTTTTGTACCCAAACCCATTAATTGGAATTTGTGAGTGTCGGCGGTGTGAACCCACGAAGATTGGTTATTAATGCTTTTATTTTCCACGTCTAAGCGTAATATAGATGAGAACTACTGGAATTAGTCCAAAAATTCCAGTGGATATTTCGATTCAAAAATCCGTTTTGAGGGATGCTGAGATGAAAGATTGGTTTTTACCGTGATGGGTGTGCGCGTCACGTACAACTCGGTAGATCAGTAGCTTTTGAGCTCCTGTTGGTGTATACCTCTGGAATAAGATCTGATAAATTTCGAAGATGGATAAAATTGTTGCAGGTCGGGAGAGGATATTTTCAATTTTGTACCAAAACGCATTGAAACAATTGCCACTTTAGCATGAAGTGTGGAAGCTGAATCAGTTCCCAACCACATGCATCCCTCAAGGACAGAAGATATTAGATATTATATTCTGATATCAGTAAAATTTTAATGAAATAGCACATTTTATTCATCATTTAGTGCCCTTTGTTTCAGTAGTAACACTGATGCTTGTATCCTGATTTACTCTTACAGCTTTCACAAGTTGTCCTGATTTGACGGCGTTCTTTGCATAAAGGTTTCTGACAAGTTCCTGGATTTTCTTTGTTTGTGATTTCTTTCTCGGAGAGATGTCTACTTGCAACCTCTGGACTTTGAACCACATTCATCCGTAATGGATCCCCTCAGATGCATACAATTCTCTATTCACTTGATTTGCGAGAACTTACTTCTGGGAAGGTCTAGTGAAATGATTTGTGACTACTTTCTATATAGTCTTTCTATATGGTCTTCTATATGGTCTTTCTACAGCAGCTATGTACAACTGGATGAAAAGCTCTTTGCAGATTCTTCTTTGGCGATCGATTAATGTTAATAAGATCCCTATGCATATTAACGAAAAACAATAGTAACTGCAGCTATATCGTCGAATTAGACATATATTCTAATAATTTTCTGCGGACAGCTAAGACTTGCAACATTTCATGATTGAAGAAAAGAGTAATTGGTTAGGGATTAATTCTTCTCCTTACCGTTACAGTGGTTACTGTCGATGTACCGTTACAGTGGAGACAAGACATTCAAGCGGGACTATTCCTTTCTCTGCAGGTTGTATTCCTAGACAGGCCCATCCTATCGTGGAGACGTGAATATTGGCTGATGTGTCGTACAGTAAAGAGGAAGGGATGGGCGACGCCAGAAGAGAAGAAGTGGGGAGACCTTGAAGATGCCTAAACGTATTCTCCTTACTATGTATTTTGTCCATTGACTCGACGTCCCATTAAAAAAAAAGATTTCTGACTCTGCTAAGTACGTTCTTTTGTCACGTGCATTGACGAGTGAAGAAATGCGGGGAGTTCTTTTTGAAGCGGATAAATATAAACATTAGGTTGAACGGATGATGAAACCAGGCTACGTGAATGAGCGTTTTGATTCTAATTTCCACGACTGTAATAAAACTAAACCACACAATATAATGAATAATCCTTATCATTTACCCATTATAGGCAATATTCGATATCATTCTGTCACTATTTGTCCCATTTGACATTTCAGGACATACTAGGAGGGGGGACGTTTTGGAAATAATTCTTAATGGAAAAAGGAAAAACAAACAAACAATAAAGCACGATAGACGCAACCTTGCATAGTTGTGATTATGTTCGCGTTGAACAGGTTCGCTCAATTTCTTCCAATTTCACCTCTCTCCATCATTGGCGTTAACACCACATCCATCATAATCATAATCGGTTTATTTGTATCAATTATTTCACGCTTTCTACCCATGAGGAGTAAAGGATCAGTGTATGGCCAATAATTGAAATAAATGCCCGTACACTGATGAATGAATTAATCTCAGGCACACTCGAACGTCTTTGACAACAACGGGATGCACACAGTAGCGAGCAGTGCACCGGTTGTAATACACCCAGTATCAGGCTAAATATGCTTGAAAAGGTTCGTGGAATTATGAAATGTTCCGTAAATAAAAGTTAATAAAGTTAATGAAATCGTTTATAGTTTAAACAAACAATTTGAATATAATTTATAATTATTTCTAATAAATTGTGGGCATTCTAAGGAAGAACAACGGTCGTTTTCAATATTGCACAACACGTATAAATTATTGTTTGTTGAGTTATATATTGGCGAACTAAGGTGTAATATCGGATGATGATCTACTGATAATATTACAGTATATTATAGCGTTGAGATACTGGAAGTTAAGCTTCTTGTATGACTCATTTGTGTGTGGGAGGTAGCATAATTACCTTAATATCTTTTAACGGCTTAACACTATAATGAATGAATAGTTTAAAACTAGATCTACTTTGACCTTATGAATTTCAGTCCTTCAATTTCAAATAAATTTAATGAATGAAATTGACGTGTGCACGTTAGAAAATGTAAATATCAAAACATAAGGGACAGTATTTTTCTCCTAAATGTTGTTGCATTATAGTAGATACCCGGTAATCCGAACTAATTGGGATGTGGTCTGTTCGGATTCGGAAATATTCGGATTATACGAAAACATGTACCATACATATACAACTACATCTATAGGATTACCATAAAATGTATCGTGCGATGTGAGAAAATGGAAACGTAGCGTAGCGTAGCGATCGCATCATTACATCATCACATCATCACATCATCACATTGCATTATCAAGCAGATGCAGTTCCTTACGGCAAAAGAAAATTACCGATTTTGCAAGCTGCTCAAAGTGAAAATTATAACATATATAAACAAGTGATATACACCGTAGTTACCAGTGCAATAAAGATTTCATTTCGACAATGAATGATTCAATAATTAGTTCAATAATTCAATAATTAGTTGTGTTTCAATAATTAGTTGTTCAATTTTACAGCAATTTTAGAATCCTTTCTTTTCACCACAAATAAGCATTTTCTTTATTTTGTTTATTGTTCCTCCATCCCAAATTTTGTTCGGCTTATCCGAAATTTCGGATTTGCGGGGTTCCGATTAGCGAGGTTATACTGTACACCGAAACTTTTTAGGAAGATTGTTATGAGTTGACATTTCCTACCGGTAAATTTTTCAGGTGTGCGTGGGCTTAATTACGGGACGACTATATTTGTACACAAGCACTAGAAAAGCGGTTGTCGCGGCGGAGCTCTCGCTACACGTTTTATTTTGTGACGCCCAGCCACTGAGCAGAGTCCCATTCTAGGCGAAGCCGGGTGCATGTGTGGCGTGGCGTGGCGAGGCGTGGTGGGCCGGGCCATCTGTCGCGTGGTGGCTGCCGCGCCTTCGTCTGTCGCCTGCGTGCTCGCGCGCGGCCTTGTCCCGCCAATCCACGACACGGCGCACGCCTCGTGCTACGGCTCCGTTTTTGCCCCGCTTCCGCCCCCCGCCCCCGCTCACCCTTGCGCCCTACCTCCCGCTCCCCGCACCTCTCGCCCCCCTCGCTCCTCCGCTCGCTCCTCGCATCGCTTCCCCGCCCAATCCCCCCTCCCTCTCCTCGCCTCCACCCTCCATCCTCCACCCCCGCCTCCACCCCCCGCCTCCATCCCGCCTCCGCCCCCGCTCCATTCGCCTCCACCCCGCCTCCAACTCGACTCCACTTCACCTCCCTCCACCCACCCCCGTCCCACCCCCGCCTCCACCCCGCCTCCACCCACGCCTCACCTCACGCCTCCCCACGCCTCCACCCACGCCTCCACCACGCCTCCACCCACGCCTCCACCCACGCCTCCACTCCACCGCCTCCACCCACGCCTCCACCCACGCTCCACCCCCACCATCTCCCACCCCCGCCTCCACCCCCCGCCTCCATCCACGCCTTCCACCACGCCTTCCATCCACGCCTCCACCCCGCCTTCCACCTCACGCCATCCACCTCCACGCCTCCACCTAGCCCTCCACCCACGCCTCCACCCCACGCCCTCCACCCCACCCCCACCACGCCTCCACCCACGCCTCCACCCATCGCCTCACCACCTCCCACCCACGCCTCCACCCACGCCTCCACCCACGCCTCCACCCACGCCTCCACCCACGCCTCCACCCACGCATCCACCCACGCCTCCACCCACGCCATGCCTCCGCCTCCACCCACGCATCCACCTCCGCCTCCACCCACGCCCAGCCTGCGCCCATTCCCCCACCCATTCCCTCGCCCATTCCCCGCTCTACACGTCTCAGCTACTAGAGCTAGGACTACCGTTTGGATTTGATATAAGGGCGGTTTCCTTTTATTTATTTTTACTGAAGTTAAATATTAAATGTAGATACAAGTTATTTAAACTTAACATTTTTATAGATTCATAGTTGATAAAACTAAACTTAAGTAATTTTCGTTACTTGCAATACTTGGAATAAGTAAAAAGAATATTTACTTACATACGAGCAATGGCGGCTCGATCCAAGCGCGAATTCTGAAGCGATAAAAATTTGGAGCCCTGAAACCAGAAATAGAAATGAAAGTTGGGTGAAAACTCTCAAAAACTTATTAGTAATTTTAAAGAAACATTCCGTAACACATTAATGAAATTTCTCGAATCATTTTGAATTAAACGCCAAATTTGAAAATGCTTTGAGCTACAGACGCGAATTTCATTCTTGTATTCAAAATTAATTCAATATTAACGATTGTTAGAGTTATGCCGCGATAAATTTGTTTCCTGAGGCGTTTCACCTCAATTGGATCCTTGACTTGGCATGCACATGCCTTACTGCCAGTTTATTTTTAACCACGGGGAATGCGCCTGGCTCGAAATGGGGGAGAAAGAGTGGCATGGGTAAGGAAGTTTCATGCGCAGTCTTTGAGCCGTTTTGAACGTATTGCTTAGCGATTCGCTGGGAATCGATCATAGGAAATCTCGGAAACGACCAATCGCAGCTGCTGGCCTCTAGGATTCTCACAGCAGAGCCGTCCGGCATCTGATCCACATACTGAACTACTGTCGAAAATACATCAAAGTCGAGTATCGAACATACGTAGGAAGTTGCGGTGCACAAAAACCACTTTCTAGAATTGCGATTACTTTCTTAACCCTTCAAACACTATCAACGGGATAAAGCAGTCACATACACCTTTTCCCTAGTCCTGTGGAAAATGAAGAAACGAAAAAGTGTCCGGCGACTGTCTCATTAAAATAAAAATTAACTGATAACTTCAACTTTGCAACAGATAGATTGCTGTCAAAATTAAGTCATTAATATTTCCACTACTGTTGAAGGTAATAAATGCCATTGGAACATTATGTCCCACTTAAAAATACCATTGAGGGATTGTCTCCTCAAACGTACCACGGGGACATTATGTTCCACCCAAAAATGTTATGGGGATATTACTTCCGAACGATTAGATCCGACAATACCATTTCGAATATACCATTGAAACATACGAACCACTATTCCCTAATACACCAATAGTTTAGGTGAGGTTGTAGTAAATTCTTTAACAGAAGTGTATTAAAACTGACTTCAATTTCGGGCCCGGAAAAAATTGGTTTCCGAAAAATTGAATGTACTGTCGTAAAATTAAGTGGAATGAACAAATGTGGTTCGTGAATCGATGTGCATCCATTACTCGGTTGTGTGCAGCTGGTGCTCGGCGGGTGCGGGTGGGGCACGGCCTGGCACGCTCGTCGCCCCAGGAATGTTCACGCACGCTCCTCACATGCGCTCGCCTTGCTGGCGCTTCCGGTCGCACAGAGCGTTTCTTCTGTACGATGGGGCGAGCGATTTTCCTTCCAGCGATGCGTCGGCCTTTTTTTTTTTGCGTTAGCAAGTACCTCCCTACAGTGACCAATGACATAGTACTACACATAGCATGAAGTACGTCCTCGAGTTATGCATTTCAAACCCATAAAAAGTACCGTAAATCCTGTTTCTGCTACAAATGTTGGTCTTGAAACTCTTTTCAAGCGCTCTTAAAAGTAATTGCTTAATTACTGCCGTACGCCAAATTAAAAATGAAAAGATGCTAATATTTTCAAGCAGAAATAGAAGAAACTACAAACACGCTAGATGTTTGCTATTTTCAGGAACAAATAAATGCATGAACTTCACGTATGAACTGTCCTAAGATATCCTATTAACGGAATAAAATAACAGTAACAACAGAAGTAGCATTATTTTTATTAAACACCTTTCTAGTTCCTTACAAATTTACACGTTCTGGTGAAATTGAATTTAAAGGCAACTAAGCAGCTTTACATTAAGAGTATAATTAATACCCCAATTATTACCACATTAAT